TGATAAGTGCTTGTTGATCCACACTTTAGTCGTTAATGTCCATGATTTCATCAACCGTGCTGGATGTCAGTTTGATAATTAGTCGGTGGTTAAGTTCACTGTCAGCGGAACGGTTGGTCATCCGCGTCAATCCCACCTGACCAAGTTCGTTTCTAAGACAGCCAGACATGAGGTCACGTGATAGCAGTCTCAGTCACCCGGCGTCGGTTTCCACAGCCTGTATCGACACTCGATCCCCATGGTGGCTAACTTACGCACACACTAACACTCAACGTTTGGCCTCTCGCGACTGGACGCACATGTAGGCCAAGCTGGCCAATCATCTCTCTGAGACTGACTCATACAAATGCCGCTTTGCAAGCGTTTGTGTTGACCCTACGCTCTCACACTTCAGATGCTAGCCTCACGGCCGGACGCAGGCCTGTCCGAGTTTCAAATTTCTCTAGCCAAACCTCCACTACTCCTATAGAGAATAAAGTATTTACTCCACTGTGGCCTCCCACTCCTCACTTTCCCCCAAGGAACTGAGTCTGACGATCGCAGTGCCAAGGGTCTTCCCAAACAACCCTAACCCCTGCGATAGGCCTTCCACATAGCCCGGCAGGCGGCTGGGCTACTACACAGAATACGTGTGGGTGAATGTCTCTGCCAGCTCTCCTATTATGGTCGTGCCAGCGTTTTTAGCTAACTTCGGCATCCACAGTCTGAATAAATCAGTGCGCTTTTGTGATTATAACGGTTACTTTGGTTGAAGCAGCGCTGACTAAGTGGATTTGAAAAAGTTCATTTCAGCGGGTCACGGGCCACCAACCCAGGCACCGTTGCAAGGATCAGTGGAGCGCCACCAGAGCGCACACAGGTTTCGCAATCAATGTCTGTCTTTTCAAGACTGTTAACAGCGTGCACGCTTTGCATAGTCTTACAGACTCAAGGCGCTGAACGAACTTACTAATATTATTTTTCAGCCCTTGCCAAATGTGTTGCGCAATATGTTGCAAGAGGCCTCTTTAGCGAGTTTTGTTTTTGTCCCTGAAAACTGATTTCACCATATTGCGAAATCGAGCGCAGCTGAACGTTGTCGCGCAGTAAGTGACCGTTCATGGATGTCACAGCTAACGGCAGGGCAGTTCTATGTTCCAAACTCAACTACTTGCTCCCCATGGCCTTATCGCAGGGGGTTAAGTGAGTTAAATCCTATCATCTGCGATCTTCAGACCATGGTTACTTAGTAGAGAAGAAGTCTTGGGAGGCCCAGAGTAGAAGGAACAGTATATTGCGTACACAGAGGAATGGAAAACACATGGGAAGAGGTTTGACTTGGAGTACATACGACCGGCCATGAGAGCCAGCCGTGTACAAGTGCCGGTTTGACAGCATTCAGGCCAGTAGACAGAGAGAGAGCTTTCATTGGCTGGATCGGCCTTAAAGATTTTTGGCTAGACAGATAGATTGTGTCGGGAACGCGTGTAAACTCGCTATTCGTCACCGTCCCAAAAGGCATTTATGTGGAAACTGTGATTGGCTGATACAGGCGTCGAGACTAACGTCTATGAGTCTTCAGGAAAATTCACTTCGACTTGAGCTAGTTACAATAGCCTGAAGGAAGTAACTCCTTGTGCCATCTCTGACGGTCTTGAGGACTCAGGTCACGTGGGCACGCAGATTTGGCGGTTAACATCCTAACTGATATGCCAAAACTGGCTGGCGATCATGCATATAGAAATTGTTTGCAAGTGTTAGCGAAGGTGCTGCATATTTCTCAGCAGTCTTCTCCGTTGATAGGCAACGGAGTTGGTCTTGTCAAATGGAGAATAATTCGAAACGCACCGAATGTTCTGCTGCTAAAATAAACCTCGTGTGAGTAAGTCAAATTCGTGTGCAGGCTTCTGACTGCACAATTTATGTACAGACCACGTTTTGCTTATCGAGAACCATATTACTCTGTTTTCATGCCTAAAAGCTCAATAAGCAAATGTTCAACGGCCCCAGCTGCCAAGTACCTTTGCATTCCCCCACTGCATATACATCCGTAAGTGCTAGTGAATCCATATACACAATTTAATGTGTTAAGTAGGGACATTTCAACTGAATTGTACGTCCTTACTATGGTGCAATGCAAACGTCGCTTGATTGTGTTTGAAATACCATCGCCAGTTAAGTGAATGGATATCATCGTGGGCGGGTTCAGTAATGAAGGTTCCAACACAAGCAGGCATACGAGTCCCAAGGAATAACTGAGAGTAAGAAGAAGATACGATCGCTGAGACAAGGCTTTTATTCGCCTAGCGTTTCGTCATAGATATTAGCTCACACAGAAGAAGAAACGGATAACTCATGCACGGAGAGTTGCAGTAATTTTAGGCTACAGTCACTATGATACCGCACACTTAGGACGATTAACGGCTTCCCTATCGAGCATAATTGCCCGCTTGTGCGCTAATTACTTAATGACCGGCATGCGGGCCATGACTTGCCGAACTTTCATCTTGCGTGATGATTTTTCGGTCATCTGGTTCCTCGACGTTGGCGTTAGATGACGCGGTGGCTTGTGCGTTCCCCCAAATGGCCATTTACTTTGGCCAAATTGAGCCTCAGCACCGAATCTGAATTTGGTAGGTCTATCGAAGGATTAAGGTTTATAGAGTTAACCCCTGTCACTATGATTTTCAGGCCTGGTTTCTTAGGAGGGGAGAAGGCATGGAAAGTCCCGAGCGGTATGAACAGCTTTTTCCGTACAGAAGGATTGCAGAATAGTTAAGAGGAGATTTGAGTCTCAGACGAGTGTAGTCTGTTCCCTA